TATTCAAATTAAATTAAAATTAAAATTGAAATTGAAATTTAAATTTAAATTTAAATTTTATTATTTAAATCATTCAATGTTGGAACCAGTTTTTTTTTAAATTTTTGAAGTAGTCTCCTGCTGAGAAAAGTTAACAACATAAGATTTTTTTCTTGAGAAAGACATCGACAGCAAAAGTTTTATCAGCGTAGAAACTGAGCTTTGAATGAGCTTCAAATTATCCATCCTTCAAAATGTAATTTTGTTAATTTGTATGTACGTATGTAGGTATGTATTTATTGCTTTTGGAGACATTACAGAGTTCTCTGATAGCAAGAGGGTGCATGACATGGTACAAAAAAAAGAGAGTTAAAGGTACAGCGCCGCATGCTAGCAAGTAGGAATAATTGATAATCAAAATAATATTTAAATATATAAGTAAATTGTTCCACAATAATTTCTGGAATGGTAACTCAAAATAGTAAACAAGGCAAATTGATAAGAATTATAGCTAAGTAGATCAGGCAACTGCAAAATGTAGACAGAGCTAGGCAAACAGCTATACCTGGTACAGAACTCAGAGTGAGATATCAAATCAATTTAGATGAGATCGAGTACTAGAACGTGCTAGAGGGCCAAGGTCAGCAGGGGGTATGACGGGGAGGGATGATCTTACCGAGAGGATTTCAGACATCAAGTTGTGAAGAGACAGGAGGTGTCTGCGGGTGGGGATTGAGAGGATTCTGAGAAGGTGGATTGAATGAGGGATGCCTGCTGTTAGTCCGCTGAGATGCTTTTCCCGCTGCATCTTATAGGACGGGCAGTGTAGGAGGACGAGCTCCACAGACTCCAACGTGTTCAGGCAGCAGTACCGGCACTGAGAGCATGGAGTCAGCTTATGGATCGTCCCCTTGTCAGAAATTCCGCTTGTCAGAAATTCCTGCAATTTATGTAGTTGTTCGCGAGTCTTAGCTGGATGGCAATTCTGGTAACATGGATTCCCCCTCTGAAGAACAGATAATCGGCTGTGGTATCCGAGAAACGACGTATTAACTGAATCTGGGACGAGCTTTAGCGTAGGTAGTCTTCATAGTTGGAAGATCTCAAATTTAGAAGAATTGCGTCAATGAAATTCTATCTCTGGTCTAGCCAAAAACAAGAGTCCAAGCAATCAAACATGTCAGGGAAACCTACCGAGGTGAAAATAGAGTTCACATTGGAAACCCAATTGAATTTCTCCTTGCAGGTTGGAACTCGGGATAGTCGAATTGTCTCCATCAGGCAGATATAGGATCATCTTTTTTTATTCATTTTCAAAATGTTTCTGATCCGATCCCAGATAAAGATCAGGGCACGTAAAGCCAGGGATTGAATACACAACTCCAGGCGGATATGATAAACTAGGGTGTTTCTAGGAACTAAGAAAATCCTTTTGAAATAATCGGTCTGAATCCTTTCGATTTCACCGCTCTGATACGGACCCCATGTTTGTATTCCGTAGAGAAGGGTGGACACAACGAGAGTATCAAATATGTAATGATTTTTCTTTGGCCTCAACAAATACTCAATAAACCCTAACCCAGAAGTCTCGATTATCCAAACACGGCCAACTCATTACCTTCGTTCTCGCAATCCGACAAGTCTGAAACGCCAAAAACCTTAACGCTAAAACTGGACTCCGGGAACAATCAGCAGCTCATCCAATCCTTACTTCGTCTATTTAGGGCGCCAGCCGATTTTTAGCAACGCGGAATCGACAAACCACAAACGGAACTGTATTTTCTTAAAACTAAATACTGATTATCCCCAAAAATCCAATAACGACAAGAAACATATCGCAAACCATACGCAGAAATGTGGATTACGAGGGTACGGGATTTACTCGGCTGCTCAGTGTGCGGGTCGTGGAGAGAGGGGTGGATTCGTGGACGAGAACATCAATTAACAAAACCAATCATCGATCGAGAAACCAATAAACCAATGTCTTAAATTCCAAACGGGATAGGTAAGGTCGACATTGAATAATAAACACAATTGTACTGACGTGTTTCGCTATTGCCGATATTAATACAAAATCGTAAATTCGTACAAACACAAAATTACATGAATGTGACTCAAAATAATTTTAAATGCTCTGAAATGATCCATTAAACTCCAAAAGGACTCAAAAGATGCGAATAATAATTTTAAGTATGAAAAAGAAAGCGATCCCAATCCAAAGCTGATAGAGAGAAGCAAAGGTATTGTCCACGAGGGGAACACGAATCCGAGAGAGAGAGACTATAGGAAGGTAGCGTACGTGCGAGAGAGAGAACGGATGAGGTAACTACGCGAAATAAAAAAAAAAAGGGAGCTCACGAAAAGGTACTAATTTTTCTTATTTTCGACTGTAATTAATCGAATTACGAATTATGGAGCGCCTTTGTAATGGTTTACTTAATTCTTATGCCATTTGTAACCCATTAAAATCGGGAATCTCATTCACCGAAAAGGTAGCAAAAATGAGCTAGGGAGCTTGAATCAGCCACGTGGCTGATTTACCGGAAAGGAGCGTTTCTAACCCGGAAATGGAGGTTTTCTCCATGAAAATAGGTAGCTTACGGTCTCCAATAATTTCCAAAATAATAGGTAGCTTATTCATGAACGTAAGAGAGCTTAGATAATTTTATTGTTCTGGATTCCAACCATAAAGTAAAGATAACTAAAAAGATAGCGTCCCCATGCCCAACCGGAATCCAAAACTCAACGAACGCTAGAGAGCATTAAAACGCGAAAAAGGTAGCTTCAGAACAATTCAGGTAGCATCATTTTTCCTCCAGAACTCTCGTGAGTCGGAGAAATATAAAGAAATAGGTAGCGTAGAATAATTACGTAAAGAGAGCGAAAAAAGGTAGCAAGCAAAAAGGTAGCAATGAAGTAGGTAGCGAGTTGCATCAATCGCCGTAGCGAGACGCCTAAAGCATGAAATTTAGCCTAAAAGTTACGGTAGGTAGCCCTATTACTATTCGGATTTATTCAGGTAGCGTAATTATCATTTAAATAATCTCAGGTAGCTTCCAGGGAGCATTTAGGTTTGTTTGAAGAGTTTTCTGTCCTTCAAACCATGAGTATCGGTGTTGGCGTCATTCCGAGAGGTAGCGACGCCATTCCGCGTGGTCCAACTGCTTTATCGAAAAACGCACTAATTCACTGTTAATCACCTCTAAATAAGTACACGAGTACTTACCATGGTCTGGAGCGTTGATTTTGACTGAATTTGGATCACGGGGCCTCGATAATTACCTCGAAAGAGAACTTGTTCAGGGAGCTAAATCGACTCGTACCTCACTCTTAGTCGTCCGGGTGGATACTGTAATGGCGACTATCGCGTGTGTCCGCTCGGGCCTGTTGCATAGTGGTGGGGAGTCTGGGGGAGACTAGCCCCGTACGGTGCTGACTCGAGTGCCGGAGACGCGAACTATCGATTCCCGGGGTAATTGTGCGCGAAGTATTTAAAGATTTAAATTTAAATTCTCCTATGATTGATTTTAATTATTTTAATTGAACAAAACTGTAATTACTTGAACTCAACGTGAAACTGAGATGGCGGAGCGGGTCTTCACTCCGTCTACGACCGGAATAAGGTAGCTTATCTACAGAGGGCACTCTCCGGAGAGGAATTAGGACTTTACCAACGAAAACTCAAACGCAAACGCAACTTAACTAAATTAAAAACCCAATGGCGATCCGTTTCGACGACTGGGATCGTCTCCACGGCCTTCCAACTGAAAGCCCTAACACTCTCGCTCAAGGGAGCGCAAGCATTTCAACTCGACCTATGTACTCACTCTATCGACAAACCAAAAAGGGTTACGGGAAACACTGGGTAGCACATTATCTTGGCCAAATATTCCACGGTGATATCCTGATCCTTAACCGAATTTACGTAGGAAAATCTCAAAATTACTAAACTTTAACTCAACAAAAATGACTCGAAAAAAAGAAATATCTGCAAAATATCTGGTTTATTTAATGAAGTTATTTAATGAATATTGTTCTAAAATTTTAGGGAATCGATTCACGCGATAGGTAGTCAATTTAAGTAGTTTTCCGAACTTAAGGTAGCTCTGAAGTAGAGTTAAGGTAGCAGGTAGCTCTAATCTCCGTATAGATTTTTATCACGACAAGAAGGTAACGGTTTATAATCTCTCTCTCTCTCTCTCTCTCTCTCTCTCTCTCTCTCTTTCTATACATAAATACCCTGGAGTTCCGCAGGTGACGAATTCGCCTGGAATTTCGTCACAGCCCCCCGCCTTTTGACGTTTCCGTGTCGGCTTAGACCTTTGTCGAGAGTTGCTGCGTTGAGTCCAGAGTTGCGGGGTCGTCCGAGGGTTCCCACTCGTTACTTTCAGTCCTGACTGGGTTTCTAGGTCTGAGGTATCCGTGGTATGTCGTTCTTGAGCACTGAAATCAAACGAACCCATGCCCACGAAGAACCTTTTCCCAAAATAAAGGGTACTGATATTACCTGAGAGTTAGCAAGAAATTTTCTTTATTCCCACGATTTCGAGATATTTAAGGTACATGAGGAAATGAAAAACAACAAAGATAGCCATTCTGGACGGCGTCAGCATGTGGGTTCATAGTACATTCGAAGTAGAATGGGAAAAGATAACAAAAGTGAAAGAGATGTCTTATCTCTACACAAAAAAAAGAAACAAAATAGGGCGATGTGTCAGGGGTTCTATTGGGTCCCAAAGAAAAAAAAACCAAGGAGTTGACAACCAAAAAAAAAAAAATCAACACAGGAAAATTTAAAGCAAACGAAAAGAGAAATATCCAACAAAAAATAAATTTCCCGAGTGAACACCTCGTTCCATTGGCGGGTCCGGCCCGCTTGTCAATCTTATACTTATTCAGGTAGCGTGACAGTAACACTGAGGTAGCATTGGACGAGGGTTACCATGTATTGGCCCCTGCATAGGTAGCGTAAGGTAGCAGTTGGTCTTATGGAGCGGCCTTACTCCTGCCAGACGAGCGTCCTACCAGTAGCCGGGTGGTGGTGGCTCTGGTCCCCTGAGTGAGTAGTCGGGGTCATACTCACGGTCTCGAGGAGGGTACCTGGGTCCTTCCCCCCGGCCTCTGCGTCCCTGATCCCTCGAGGGGAGGTCGTGATCTCTCGTTGACCCATAGTAGTCCTGGGGTGGCTCACGGTAACCCCTCAGTTCTGGTTCGTAGCGAGGGTCGGGTAGTCCTCCTCGCCCTCGACGTGGTTCCTCTCGACGCCAATCCGCGCCTTCGTGGGGTCTTCCCCACGTTCTGTTTCCCCCCAGCGGTGGGTACTCCTCTTGCTGGGGTCTATACTCATAGCCCCGCTCCTGTGAGAAGGCATGATACTGCACCGGGGGACGTTGGGAACGTCCTCCATATTCCTGGGAATCTCCGGACTGATGTGGAGATCCTTGAAGTCTCCTAGCCTCGTAGGAGGGTGTATGATATGCCCAACGTTCCTCTGGTCTAGGTGGTGGCGAGGGAAGGGGCCCACCTCGTAGGGTCTTCGGTGAGGCGGTAGGCTTCGATGTCTTGACAGCCTGGGGGTGCTTCTGACGCTTGATGCGCTTCCTAGTTTGTGGAGTTTCGGCAGCTGTATCGCTTGGTGGAGCTCGAGTCTGTAACTTCACACGAGGTACGTTACGCCCCAGTGCTGGGACGTAGGGTCCGGCTGCCCTCCACTGATCTCCACAATGGGGGCACGTTTTCGTGGCGACCCCTTTGCGCCCACAACTGTAACACACTATGATGCGAGGTTTGGGGCATTGTTGGCGGCGATGATCCGGGGAGTTACAGTTGTAGCAGTGTGGCTGGAAATCCCAATCTGCACGAGTCGGTTTGTCATCTGGATGTATAGTGGCGGGTGTTGTTTCCAGGGTTGGACCCCCTGCGTTGTCCGGGTCCTGTTCCTCGGTGGCCCACCAGGGGAGGGGATATTCCCCCGGCTCCTCGGTGTCCTCGAGGTCTTCGTCGATGGTGATCACGGGTGGTGTGGTGGTGTGTCCAGATGTGGAGTCGTTGGCGTTACTGGTGGATGGACAGGTTTTTGGTACTGCCCCCCTGGAAACTGGTGTTGCGATTAGTTCAACCACTGGCATCAGACCCGGAGGTACAGACCTCGGTTGGGTGAGATTCTGGGGGGGCTGCGTTAGTGGTGCCGCCGGTGCCGGAGTGGGAGGCGGTTGTAGATTCGGCCCGAGGACGGCGTTATCAGCCTGAGGTGCCGCTCCTTGTACACCCGTGAGTTTCCGATTCGTCTCCTCTCGTTCGAGGGCCCCTGAAGTTTGAGTGGCGGGCGCTGTAGCTAAAGCCGGGGTTTCCTCTGCTCGTCCTGCCAACAGATTTGGGTAGCTACGTGATGGACGTACTGCTCTGACGGGGCGAAACTGTGGTGCCCTAGCCGTGGTGACCGGCAGTACACCTGGCGTGACTGGCATGGCTGGATTCGGCAACGATTCCAGGGAGGCACCCAGCTTTTTGTCCTCCTCGGTGAGATCCACTTACAAGATGTCGGTCTCCCCGTCCCCTGAAGCTGCTCGTGGTGGTGTCTCCCTGACGGCGGCCAGGGTCAGACTGCTCAATTTTTCCAACGGGATCGAGACTTTGATCGGTGTCCTTACGACCTCCACCCTACAGGGTCTCGTGGAGATCATTTTGGGGGTTTTCCTCGATTTTGGGGTCTTCCCGTGATGCGTATTTGCGGGACCATGGGGGGCGTTGGTTGGGCTCGACCCGGTTATGGTTCCTCGCTCGCCCTGGTCATCCATCAGGGCACTCGCCTCACTTGACGTCCGGCTGCGGCCACTAAGAGGGGAGTAGCTGCTACTCAGCCCATCTGTCATGGACTCCCGGGCCAGTGATAGTTTGGTGGACGCTCTGAGTACCGCCATGACGAGGTCGTGTTTGAGACCAGGTCGGGTCTGGTCCAACGAGTCCAGCTGAGTTTGAAATGGTGAGAGTTCGGCCATCGCCAAGTCCAGTCCAGTCATTAGGGGGCCGGTGGTGTCCTCCGCCCGACCTGCTAAAGCCGGTATGTCTGTCTTTCCCGGATTTCCCGATGGTTGTGGGTCGCTGGAGGACGACTCTTGAGCGGTAGTAGGAAGTCCAGAGGCCGCAGGTAGCTGGGTTGACTTTGGTGGCTTTTCTTTCATGGCGTGGGGTGGTGGTTACTCGATCACCTCCCTCGGGAGACTGAAACTTTCCCGCACAACACCAAGCGGGTTGGTTAGTGGGTTCTCTGGTATTCCCGCCTCCTAGAAGTTAGTAGAGGGGTTAGAGATGAGATGGGCCTCGGTGGTTTGCGCAAGCGTGAAGGAGAGCTGGTCTGATGGCAAAGGTAGCATAGGGAGAAGTAGCGTAAGTTAACGTCATGCAAGTAGCAACCGAAGCATGTGTAGGGAGTGTAAATGATCAGTTTATAGAGAGCGTGAATTGCCTGTATAGAGGGAGCATTATTTGTCGGGCTTACGGACATGAATTTCAGGTAGCGTTCTGCCGAAAAATCATAGATAGTTTGTCTGAGGAGAGGAAGCACAAGTAGTCGGGCTTATAGGCAATGTCATTTAGGTAGCGCCATGCCGAAAGCATAGAAACTTCATTTTTCTGAAGGGAGCATGGATATTCGGGCTTACAGGCAGAATGAGTTAGGTAACGCCATGCCGAAAAGGCATGTATAGTTTATCCGAAGGGAGCATAGGTATTCGGACTTACAGGTAGAGTATGTTAGGTAGCGCCATGCCGAAAAGCCATGTATAGTTTATCCGAAGGGAGCATAGGTATTCGGACTTACAGGCAGAGTATGTTAGGTAGCGCCATGCCGAAAGCATAGAAACTTTATTTTTCTGAAGGGAGCATAGATATTCGGGCTTACAGGCAGAGTATGTTAGGTAGCGCCATGGCGAAAGCATAGAAACTTCATTTTTCTGAAGGGAGCATAGATATTCCGGCTTACAGGCAGAGTATGTTAGGTAGCGCCATGCCGACGAAGAAGTTTTCTATATTATTTTTCCTCTAGGGGAAGTCGATACCGTTTGAGATCTTGGATCGAAATTTCCCCTTTGAACTTTCCTAACATATCAGAGAGCTCATAACGAGTGCGCGAAATCTTTTTCGAGATCACGAATGGTCCTTCGAAGGGTTGCGCTAATGATGCAGAGAACTGTTTCGAGGCGTTAGATAGCGGGTGCGATTTTCGTAAGACTACATCTCCGACTTCAAATTCTTGATCTCGGCGACGTAGATTGTAATAGTGAGCTTGGCGATTCTGAGCCTCTGTCAACGCATGAGTGAAAACTCGTCGCAATGAATCTAATCGCGACATACGTTGAAGCCATTCCCCGGGATTCCGCGGAACGATCTCAACTTCACCTTCGATTTCGCGGCGCAGAGAGATAGCTGCAGCTGGCTCTCGACCAAAATTAGCGACAGCAGGAGTGCTTTGTAGGGAGCTGTGGAGAGCAGTGTTGTATGCGAACCTAAACTCGTGTAAGTGAGCTTCCCACTGCTTTTGATTTTCCCCAGTAAACGCTCGCAGCATCATTTTGATGACTCTATTGACGCGCTCGACGGGATTCGCTTGCGGATGGTACGCTGGAGTTGTCTTGTGCTCCATCCCGGTCATTTCCGCAAGAGCGCGAATATCACGGTTCACGAATTCAGTCCCATTGTCAGTGAGCAATACTCGGGGGGTTCCCCATCTAGAGATAACTTGGTGTTCGATCACTTCGCGAATCTTTTTACCAGTGGCCGAACGCAAGGGAACAACTTCAATCCACTTGGTAAATAGATCCTGGATTACGAGGATGTAGCGAAAACCGGATTTGCTAGGGGTTATTGTCCCCATGATATCTGCGGCGATCGTGGTCCAAGGTTCTTCAATGACCCTTCGACCCATCAGTCCTGCAGGAACGGTTTGTTCGACTTTACATTTTTGACAGGTAGCGCAGTGACTGACAAAGGTAGTGATGTCATTTAGCATTGAGGGCCAGTGATATTTGAGAGAAACCCGTCGATAGGTTTTATCGATACCTAAGTGACCAGATTGAGGTAGCTCATGAGCTTCTCTCATCGCCTGTTTCCGCAGCTCGTTAGGTAGCACAAGTTTCCACGCATCTAAATCGTCTAACTCGGTACTTATGAAATGATTCGGACGGTGGATATACAGTCGATCGTCAGCAATTTTATAATCAGGGAACTTATAGGGAGCATGTTGAACATCTCGGTATCGACGTTTATACCACTTGTCTTTCGTTTCCTTAAAGGTAGCTAAAAGTGCACGAAAGGTAGCAAGAGTCTCCTCTTCAGGGTTGACTAATCCCTCTGGAGCTCGAGATAGCGCATCAGGGACGTGATGCAGCGCGCCCTTACGATGAACGATGGTATAGTCGTACTCCATGAGTCCTAAAGCCCATCTAGCGAGTCTTCCCGTCGGGTTCTTCAAGTTATTTAACCAACGTAGGGAGCTATGGTCCGTGATGACGGTGAAGGTATAACCTTCAAGGTAACAACGGAACTTTTTGATTGCCCATATGACCGCAAGGCATTCTTGTTCGGTTACGGTATAGTTTCGTTCGGCGTCGGTTAGGGAGCGACTCGCGTAAGCTATGACGCGTTCCTCTCCATCTATTTCTTGAGTGAGCACGGCTCCAAGACCTACACCACTAGCATCAGTCTGAAGGACAAACGGCTTGTCGAAATCTGGGCATGCTAGTGTTGGAGCAGAAGTTAAGTGAGCTTTCAAGGTAGCAAAGGCAAGTTCCTGATCGCTAGACCATTCCCATGTCTGATCATTTTTCAATAATTTGGTTAACGGTTGAGCGCAGGTAGCGAATTTAGGTATGAATCGCCTATACCAGGAAGCCATGCCAAGGAATCTACGCAGCTGTTTCAAGTTCTTTGGCGCGGGATAATTCAGCACCGGATCGACTTTTTCGGGATCGATTTGTAACCCGGCACTATTCACAAGGAAACCAAGGTAGCGTACTTGAGAGCGACAGAAATGACTTTTCTCGCGATTCACGACTAAGTTAGCTTCTTTCAATTTCTGGAGGACCTTCTCCAGCCAGACGAGGTGCTCCTCAAAGGTACGAGTAACGATAATTATGTCATCGAGGTATACGAATACATTCGGATACATCGAAATCCCGATAACTTGATCGATTAGTCGTTGGAAGGTAGCTGGAGCGTTAGTGAGTCCGAAAGGCATACGCTTGAACTGAAAGAGTCCTCGTCCGGGGACTACGAAAGCGGTTATTTCGCGAGATGAGGGAGCTAAAGGTATCTGAAAATATGCCTGGCTTAAATCTAAGGTAGTTATGTAGTGAGCTTGTCGCAATTCGTCCAGTATGCCAGACATATTTGGAATGGGATAAGCATCGCGCTTGGTTACCGCGTTAACCTTGCGGAAATCGATACAAAAACGATATTTCCCATTCGGTTTCTTCACCATGACCACGGGGCTGGACCAGTCACTTTTGGACGGTTCAATTATGTCCGTCTCTAACATGGTATCTACCTCCTTCCACATGACGTCCCTTAACTTTGGCGTAACGTGATAAGGTCTCTGAGCGATCGGCTGACTGTCACCGACGTCAATGTGGTGCGACGTAAGAGAGGTAACCCCGAATGCGCCTGTTGGAGGCGGCGGGATATTCTGATCGAGAACATCTTGAAGACGCGCGGTTTCGTCGTTTTCTAACGTACGGAGCCCGCAACACATGATTACTCGATTGGCACTCTCGACCGGTGTGAAAGGGAACCGTTCCTCGGGTTTATCCCGATAGAACCAGGCTTGATCGAAAAAATCAATAACAATTCGCGCGGCGAGCAGGAAATCTAGGCCTAATATGAAGTCTTCCGCTAGCTTTGGAAAGAGGTACGCTGAGGCAGTGATCGTGCGTCCCCCGAGTTTTCCATCGAATTTTGTTATGGAATCTACATGTTCCACTTGACTCGCGGCGCAGATAATGCGTTTTGGAGGTACAGGTAACGAAGGTAGCTTAGCCTGATTAAATAGCTTGATGCCGGCTGGGCCAGCGAAGGTCCTTGAAGCACCGGAATCTACTAAAGCATGGATTGTTTTTCCACAGATTTCGATCTCAATACGGAAAGATAGCGGCTTATTGTCTGAGGTAGCGTTAACGAGAATGTCTTCGTTAGGTAGCTCTTCTGGGGCAGTCAAATCTTTGGGATTCGTCCCCGTCTGAGTGAGTTCAACGTGTTTAGGTAGTGTTTGTTCCAGGTAGCGTTCACTCAAAGGTAGTCGACTTTCGATGGCGCATAATCCGCAACATGAGGGAGCTTGATGAGGTAACTTGACTGGGGCCGGGGTTTTTACCGGAAGAGACGCCTGTACCGGCGAATGACGTCTCAGTGAGCGTTTCCCGAGTTCCCCCCTTGATTCTGAGAGGTAGCAGATGCACAATGTGTGCAGTTAGTC